TTTTTGGTGAAGTTGGACGCAGCCATACCGGGGCTGTCTGGGAGCCACGCGGGACGTGGATTGACTGCGTGTGCGAGTCATGCGCACAAAAAGACTGAACCCAAACCAAAATTTGGGCGGGAAAAGTGACTTTTTGTGTTTCCGTATATTTTTTATTTTGCTCGCTGCTGCTCCGATATGACTCGAAACCCCCCGCTCCCGGTGTTCATCAGACGTTCGGTACACCGTACCATGAATAAACATTTCGCGGGCGAGACGGAAGTCAACACAGGTCCCCAGGGAGGGCGCAAAAGTGAAAAAAAGAGGGGAGGTCGAAATTTAATGATCGAGATCGTATTCTTCACACGACAAGACATCAACAAACAAACAAACAAACAAACAGTCAATCAATTAAAAAAAAACGAACAACTAAACAAACAAACAAGCAAACACACATGCATTCAGTCACAGTGCATCTACTTGTTCACTCGCTTGCAGCTGCTTATGGCGTGGAGCCATCAGCGCCAAGCATCGGCGTGGCTGCCGCCTGCGCCGCCTTTTGCTCTTGGTCCTTGATGTACTCCATCGTACTCAGTCCGTCTACAATTGGAGGCCAAGTGAGAGAGAGTGAGAGAGAGAGATAAAGAGAGAGAGAGAGAGAGAGAGAGAGAGAGAGAGAGAGAGAGATAAAGAGAGAGAGAGAGAGAGAGAGAGAGAGAGAGAGAGAGAGAGAGAGAGAGAGAGAGAGAGAGAGAGAGAGAGAGAGAGAGAGAGAGAGAGAGGCTCACACTCACCAAACATGGGCCCCAACAGAGGAGGGAAATATTTGCGGAAGTTGCTTTGGTCGACGAAAAACACATTCTTGGCGAGGGATTTAGTGGCAATGGAAACCCGCCCATCTGCAAAAACACTCAAGGCCAGTTTGTACTTCGACTTGGCATCAGAAGCATCTGATTGGTCTTGATCTGCCGAATTAAGCGCCTTGGATGAATTTTCTACCAGCTTTGCCTGATCTTCCTTGCTGTAGACCGTTGACTCGTACAGCTTCGCGTCGCCAGCTTGCACAACCTACAAAATCATCCCGGTAAGTACCACCCTCAGCATTCTGATCGCCAACGAACATCAAACATACTTGAAAGTCTTGATCAGGCAATTTCTGGAGCATGGATCCTCACGGCAAGTCAGCAACAAAAAATTTCGTGCAACCAACATCCGAAACGTCAGATCTCACACAGTGTTACCTCGTGAAACGTGTAAAAGTCAACCGCTGCATTGTTGATCATGCCGTGATACACGGTGCCGGGTAAACGGCAATTCGGCAAGAATGGACCCAACTTGCCACCACGATCGCACAGCTCGATGGAGCTGGGATCAGGCTTCGGGATCTCGAGATGAGCGATCGAAGAGTTGTCTGCGAATCGCGCTCCTTGGTGCAGCTGTTTAAGAGGGATGACATCGCTCCCGTACTCGAGTGCAAACGAGTACAAGCGAAGAGCAAGGGCGGCTGCACAGGCTGACTCAAGTGACAAGGAGTACTGCTCCCCTGGTACCGACTTGTCAAGCAACGTCTTCAGCGCTCTCCAGTGACGTGGGAGAGGTTGAGAA